CCCCAAAACCCCAAAACCCCAAAACCCCAAGTTGCAACATAATAAGTAGCAATTCAGAAAATAAATATCAATCAGATTTAATTAGATTTTCTAACCATTGTAATGAGATGCCTGGACCTGTGCTTTGTCAGGCCATTTTCACTACTGCAAATAAATTCGAATGCTGGATGCTCGGGGAACCTGTTCTCCTCAGCTGTAAGTTCCGAATCCGTGTGAAATAGAAATACTAGTCTTCCGCCAGGTCTTACCAATCTTGAGGCATGATCCAGCAAATCATTGTATATTTCCCTAACATCATACTGCTCCTTCATGCTATAATGTGGCTCCTCCTCTTTTTCTGGCTGTGTATCCTCTTACTGTTTGGATTCATCTTCATCTTATGACTACTTCTAAACCTTTTCTTATTCTAAACGCTCTTTTCTCTTCTGCTTGGTATCACTAATGCCTATCTTTTGTGTTCTAGCTCTGACACCATATGGTGGATCACAGACTATAGCATCAAATATCGCTCCACGATTGTTGATAAAAGGAGGCTTGGAGAAGTCACTGACTAATATCTCTGGTCTTGGTATATTGTAATGATCGAAGTTACAAAACAAGTCGAACCTTTGAATCTTGTCAAGCCCAGGAATGTTGAGGTTCTTTGACTTTCTACCTACCCCATAACCTTTTAAGACTCTGATGTCAAGATCACTACCGTATTACTAGCACTTGAAATGACTGCAAGCAACTGCAATTGAACCAGTGCCTACAAATGGATCATACACGAAGTCTCCTTCTTTGACCTAGCCTTGATTAGCCATTAAGAACGCCAGCTGACTGTCAGTTGAAGTTGGACCAAGGTATGGTCTGTTCTTGAGATCATACTTGAAGTGGAAAGTGTCCTCTTCCACTCTGTTGGAAGCAATCTCTCTTCCGAAGTAAATCATGTGATCCTCATTATTCTCGAGCACTCTGTATGTTATCTCTCCGTGCTTTATGTCAATTTTCTTGTTGAAAGGGAATATTCCAAAGGACTCGATTATTTTGATCTGCTCTGCCTGCTGGATCTTCCTGCCTATTCCCTCAATGCTAAACTTGAAAGTCTTGTCAAGCTAGAGAATTGGGTATAGTCTTTCTTTATTGACATTCAACAGCAATTCTTCATATGTCTTCCCAGTGGAGTAGACCTATTTCACAATAATTAAGCGAGATAAATCCACTTACATCAATGATCTCTTTGATAAGGATAGACCTTGTAAGTATGCGGTTTGCAACATCTTCGCTAGGCAAATTCACATAGACCATCGGATTCTTTTGAATGTTGTTCAGGGTCTCTTTGGGCTAGACGAAGAGCTGATCTCTTTTGACTCCATGCATGTCTGCTAGTGATTCGAGTTCATTCAGACAGAAGTCCAAATACTTAAACTTCTTTATGAAATGCACCAGGTATCTCTGGCTGCTCTATATCAATTTAGACTCCATTGATTGGTTTATGATAATTAAGTTATTAAATTAAGAGTTATAATTGAATGACCACAGTTTTACTTTAAATTAAATTGATCCACTAATTAATATAATTGATTTTGCTTCCCAATGCAGTATTTCCACTTCCAACCAATCTCGATTCTCTATAGGGCAATGACACTCACTCACTTGGCAGCTTCCTTTTTCCACTTGTGAGCCATTTCCAAAATCTTGAGGTTCTTCTTCTGGTCTCCGCCGTCGTCTGGGAATATATAGTCGTAGTACTCTTCCCATCCACCGTCTTCATTGACTTCTTCTCCAGTCTCCTAGTTAACAACCTTGACCTTTCTTCTCTTTTTGACTTTCTTAGGTATCTTAGCCTTGACTAGTTCAAGCTGGCTCTTGCTTCCAAGCTGGCTCTCCTCAAAATAGATCCAATTCTCGAGTATCATGAGTCTCTCTTCCTTCAGCTCAGGTTCTTTTTCCTTGAAATATGTATATGCTTAGCTGTATGTCTTCCTGGTATTCTCACTGTCTTAAGCATTCAGCTACTCGAACTTGGCAAAGGAAAGCCACACCTTGAGATGCTTACTTTTACCGAGGAGCTTCGAGTAGAGATGCCTAACCTTATCATATTCTCCGAGACTGATTTCATAGTCAAGGTAAGACTGCCACACCTTCTCAGGCATGTCCAGGTTTGGTCTGCTTACTGCGATCTCATAAATTTCTCTAGCTCTTTCCACTTCCTCCAGTTGAGTTTCGAACTCAGCATATTCTATCCAAACTGAGCTGACCTCAGGGAATACTTCAATTTGCTTTTTATAGATCTCTCGGCATCTGTCTAGCTAGCCTAGCTGCATTTCGATTTAAGCATAAGTTTTGAAAATCTTCTGTCTAGGACATCTTCCCAGAGCTTGTCCAAATACCTTCCTAGCTCTGTCAATGTTCTTCTGTCTAATCAAGAACTGAGCATAGAGATTCCACAGCTTTGCAAAAGTAAATCTTTCATGAGGAATAATCTCAAAGACTATCTTTCTATATATAGCATCTGCTCTCTCAGAGTTTTCTGCTTGCACCTCTTCAAATACTGCATAGTTCAGCCAAAGGTATACATACCTCTTCCAGTATCTCTTTTCAAGAACTGGAGGCACGTTTTGAATTGCTCTTTCGTAAATTTCTCTGGCTCTCTCAATGTTATTACTTTGCTCTTCTAGTCTAGTGTAGTCAAACCATAGATCATAGTCATATACTTAGCCAGAGCTTTGCTGCTTGAGTATTTCCTGCTCAAAGTAATGTCTTCTTTTAGTTAAGATCACATCTTCCATTTCCTCTCTGCTGCCATGCTACTTTTAAAACTCTAGAAATTGTTGATACAATCTGTTAGCTTTTTCCTTTGGTAGGTTGTCTAGAGCATATTTAAATAGGATCTGAGCTCTTTCATGTTCGTGATACCTGATTTCAAACTTGGTGAACTGGATAAATAAGTTCTCATCGAAGGCCTTTTAACCTAGTTCAGCAAGCGCTCTCTCATAAAATAATCTCGCTTGATCTTTTTGTCTGTGCTACTCTTCAAATCTTGCTGCTTTCACATAGCTGTTGACATTAGGGTTTAGATCGATGTATCTCTCGAGAATCACTCTGCATTTATCAAACTCACCCATTCTCTCCTCAAATTTCAAATAAGCATTCCAAGCATTTTCAGCTGGTTCCCAAGTCATCCAATCTTCAAAGATCTTCCTAACCTTGTCGAAATTTCCCAGCATCTCCTCCATATAGGCATACTTATACCAAAACTGATCAACTCTGGGTAGATGCTTGCAAGCACGCTCCCAGACATTTCTAGCATGATTAACGAACTTACTCTTCATCTCCATCTCAGCATACTTTAGCCAGAGAGTCACATGCTCAAAGTCAACATCCACTGTTCTTTCAAATACTGACCTAGCCCTGTCGTATTCACCGATGCTTGCTTCCCACTCTGCATATTTGATCCAATTTCCAATGTGGTGTCTCTGTCTGCGGAGTGAGTCTTCAAAATCTCTGCGCATACGATACTTATACTCTTCTAGTTCCTCAGTGTCTTTGATGATTTGGCGGTGAGTCTGAACTTCATCTTGCTTGTAAGCCTGCGACTCTCTCAGAAGCTACTCTGCTGTAATTTGAATCTCAGCTGGGTTATAGTTCTTAGTCTGAGGCACTCTCATTATCCCCAAATGCTGATTCATAGCTGGATTCGCTTCAAAGCCCCCTGAACCACCTCCTCCTGACTCACTCATTTTGTTAAGCTTATCCATGATTTCTTAAATTATTAATTATTTTAATAATACTATTATACTATATTTATATACACTTGAATTGTGGGGTTTTGGGGTTTTGGGGTTTTGGGG